TTTTTTTAATAAATAAATAAATAAAACCACTAAATTCACAGTTAAACTTTTCTGTTTTCTCTGAATTATAGTTTAAAGGGGCAGCACACTTAAAACATTGGGAGAACGTTTATTTTGATTTGAGTTTCTCTTTTTTAAGTTTTTATTTAAGTCGCAGTTAGTTAACATACAGTGTAATATTAGTTTCAGGAGCACAATAGGGATTCAACATTTTCATGCATCACCAGGCGCTGTTCACAAGTGCCCTCCTTAATCCCCACCATCCATTTAGCACACACACCCCCACCCCCCAACATCCACTCTGACAGTCCTCAGTATGCTCTCTATAGTTAAGAATCCATTTCTTGGCTTGCCTCTCTCTCTCTTTTTTCCCTTTGCTCCTTTTGTTTCTCAAATTCCATATACGTGTGAAATCATAGGGCATTTGTCTTTCTCTGACTGACTTATTTCCTCTAGCGTTATACTCTCTAGCTCCTAGTTTCTCTTACGTTCAATTGTGTTTTTCATTCTTTATATAAGCCCTTGAAAATGTAAATAAGTTTCCACTGTAATTTACTGATCCCCTGCTGAGGTAGAGTAGACAACCTGCTCAAAATCATTTGTATTCACAAAACAGAAAATATTCTCAAAAAAAGGTATCGGAACCCTTCACTTTGGGTCCGACTCAGTAGTGTGATTTATGATACCATGTTTCTTCTCTCTTCTCTCTAACCTTGAAAAGCCTGAAGCGACAATAATTTTGTGTTGCTGAATCATAAACTTCAGAGGCTTCTGCCTCGCAAGAGACAGGCCTTTGCACGCTGGAGATTTGGTTAACTTGTTTTCTTTCTTGTCATTAGTCTCCTGTAAGGCCTAACCACTTTCTTAAAGTCAAAAGTTACTACGGATTGCCAGTGTGTGTTTGCATTATCTTGGAAGCAGGAATGCTGTTTTTGCAGATACGGACAACTATTTGGATATGTAAGGAGAAAACACAAGAAAAGAACGTTTGGAAAGGAGGAAAGAGACTCTTATCTTTAGTTTCCGGAATCCACAGCATACAAACATAAAACACCAAACCCAGGGGATCACATTAAAGGCCAGAAAGAAAAGACCAGCTTCCTGTTCATGTGTTCTCAAATGCCAGAGAATTATAAGAACAAATAGTACATAAACACAATCAACCCCAGAAAAATTAACAAATGATCTAGACTTCAGATTCCCTGTCCTTTGCCACCAACTAATCTCTTCACGATCTGACATAAAGCCAGCAGGGTGTACCCGATCTGCAAAAGGCAATCAGGAAAAGCCAAAATAAGAAACGACTTTGGGCAAGAATACATTGCAGCCATCAAGAACCAAAGGAATATAAGCATAAAACTCCCAACAGCCCAGGGCTGGACAAGGTTCCTTTCCAGGTCACACATTTCTATTGATTCCTATGGTAGGACTTAGGTAAACAACATCTTGGTGGAACCTTCAGAAATAAATGGTCAGGTAGTTCATGAGTAGCCTGCCCTTCACTTGTATAGAAGGGAGAACAAACTATAGAATTATTTCATCCAACAAAGGCAGACCAGAATTTATATAAGACAAAAAGGGGAGAAGCGACGGAGAAAAACAAGAACGCAAACAAACAACAAACAACCCCTTGTAGTCAACCTGGTAATAGTGAAGCTGCACGTTTTGGGGGTAACCTGATTCGTTGACAGGTGGTCAGTCTGGACTGGACCATCAGTCCCTAAGCAGGCTCAATAGGCACATAGGAGAATTAAAAAAATCCAATTTCAGTTGCTGAAGGACTCAGGAAACCTTCGCGTTTGGCTGAGGAGCTAGTGTGACCAGCGTCTGCCACTGTCCTGCATTTTATCCGAAATTGTTACAGGTCTTTGTGTCCTTTGTAACAAAGTTTATTCCCTGTACCCTCCCATGTTTTTAATGGAAAAAGCAAACTTGACCACTCGGTACTGAAACGTGTGACTTGAGTAAAACAAACGTAGAAAGCGCTTTTTACACCTTAAAACTTTTGCCTGGAGCAAAGTCCACGAGTGAAGTGCTTAAAGTGGGATTTCCCCACACACAGACTGCCTGCGGTATCTGGTACCGGAAGGTTCCCTATTGGGAGACTGAGAATGCCAAGTTCAATGGCGTCCTTCCCGTCGACCCACCTCCTTTCTCCGCCCCTAGTACTTGCTTGCCTTCAGTTCAGACTCCTTGGAGGCAAGTTACCCAGCGGTTTTGACAAGGCGTCCTCTACAGCAGTATGTAGATCTTAACTACAAGCCACCAGCCACCTATGAAGGTTGGGAGTCGCATAAAGCAGACAGCACGGCCCCGAAACAGCATGCGTTTTCACTGAAAACTCCCCGGAGTAGAGTAATGGAATATAACATTTGGCACATAAAATTCCGCAGTGCTTAGTATCACCTTCATTTCCGTCTCTTAGTACCGTTAAAAACAAAGAACCTGCTTATTCCTGCATGTGCAATGGCTTTTTCTAAAGTACAATACTTTAAGGTAAATATCTTGCTAACTCCCCCATGCAAACTCAAGTGTTTGATTACAGCTCTCTTAGTGGACATGTGGGTGGCCCTGAAAAGAGCCTTTGGGGTTGGGTAAGAGGGCGCTTACTTGGCGAGTCTACTTGGAGCTGGTGTACTTGGTGACGGCCTTGGTGCCCTCGGACACGGCGTGCTTGGCCAGCTCCCCGGGCAGCAGCAGGCGCACGGCCGTCTGGATCTCGCGGGACGTGATGGTCGAGCGCTTGTTGTAATGCGCCAGGCGCGACGCCTCGCCCGCGATGCGCTCGAAGATGTCGTTGACGAACGAGTTCATGATGCCCATGGCCTTGGACGAGATGCCCGTGTCGGGGTGCACCTGCTTCAGCACCTTGTACACGTACACCGAGTAGCTCTCCTTGCGGCTGCGCTTGCGCTTCTTGCCGTCCTTCTTCTGCGCCTTGGTCACCGCCTTCTTGGAGCCCTTCTTCGGGGCGGGAGCGGACTTCGCTGGCTCAGGCATCTTAAAACCTCAGAACGCCAGAAGTGGAGTGAAAGCAGGAAGCGAATGTCTGCTACTTATAGGGCTTTTATGCTAATGAAGGATGCAGACCGCGTCTTAGTTCATTGGAAGACCAGCCGTGAGGCTGTCATCCATGGGCAGAACTATGCAAATGAGGTATGGAAATAAAGCTTTTCTATTGGCTACTTGACTGAGACTCGTTACTAGCCAATCAGGCAACCGGGTTTGCTCCCCAGGAAATGGCTATAAAAGCAGCGATGTTTTACCTACTTCCCGGCTTGCTCTCTTTTGGCAAGTGATTAGTTCTCTTGTCTTGGGATTTCTTTCCGTTGCTTACGATGTCTGGACGTGGCAAGCAGGGAGGTAAGGCTCGCGCCAAGGCGAAGTCTCGCTCTTCTCGCGCCGGGCTGCAGTTCCCGGTGGGCCGCGTGCACCGCCTGCTCCGCAAGGGCAACTACGCCGAGCGGGTCGGGGCCGGCGCGCCGGTGTACCTGGCGGCCGTGCTGGAGTACCTGACGGCCGAGATCCTGGAGCTGGCGGGCAACGCGGCCCGCGACAACAAGAAGACGCGCATCATCCCGCGCCACCTGCAGCTGGCTATCCGCAACGACGAGGAGCTCAACAAGCTGCTGGGCCGCGTCACCATCGCGCAGGGCGGCGTCCTGCCCAACATCCAGGCCGTGCTGCTGCCCAAGAAGACCGAGAGCCACCACAAGGCCAAGGGCAAGTGATCTGGCAGTCCTCTGAGTTTCCGGAAGCGCTTTCATACCCAAAGGCTCTTTTCAGAGCCCCCCACCGCTTCAAAGGAAGAGCTAATACCACTTTTTAGGTTAAGGCGGGGAAGTCGATAAAGGTAAGTTGATTTTAGCCCAAGCCAGGATAGTGCGGTTCCTCGGCTTTTGAAAAAAAAGCATCCAGGTGTTAAAATCGCCCGGTCCTTCTAGGTAACGGCAAATCGAGTGTTCGACAACTGCTTGTACTTCCTGACTTGACGAATCTAGGCACCTCGGATAGTAATGTCTAACTTAAAACTCGGTTAACTGCGCAGCTCCGCAGTGATTTCTTAAGCTGTCTTGCGAAGTTGCTCGGATGTCCTTGAACGTAAACTTAACCGAGTAACACGGTAACTCCCTGGCCAGTCTGGTAGGTGCCTCGTCTTGGGCTGCGAGCAACCCGTCTTAACTAATCTATAAAGGAGTTAGCCTCTGCTCCTGTAAGTTTTCAAAGTATTATCTGAAACTTCAAGTATGGGGAAGGGTCTCTGAAAAGTGGCTTTCCCCCGAACCGGATAGTTCACAATACTGACTGAATCCACATTCGAATTGAGGCTTCTCCTGTTTACAAGTCAATTGGCTTTGGAGCCAGTTTCTAACTCCTGGTACTCGGTCTTGTTATCCATAAACTGGTGGGAAATTGGTGTTTTCATTAGACCTTTCTGCCAATCAATGCATTTAGAGCCCCTAACTTAGAGCAGTGCTGGACTTGCAGCCAACTGCAATTAACACTTTATTTCAAGAGGCTCAAATGCCTAGATTCCTAAGGCAGCCTGAAAAAAAGGTAGATAGAATCGGGCCACAGGCCTCTCCAAAGCAGTTGCTACTGAGGATCTAGTCATTTAGCTGCTCCCAACACCAAAAGCTGCAATCTGGGACCGTGCAAAACTTCCTGCAATCTTATTTTCTAAGATTGAGTCTCCAAGTGATTCTTTGGGGTGACTGGGTTAGTGCTCTGGAAAGTTTTTAGGCAGGAAGGGTGAGTGGGCCACGGGTTGCCCACACCCCTGCACTCGGAGACTCAGGCGGCCCAAGAAGAAACAGCCTCTTGCACACGCTCTTGGAGCTCCCACTGAAGCATTTCAGGTGGCAGTGTTGGGGGAGCATTCATATCGGAATATGTACGGGGAGGGGAGGGGAGATCATCTAAACAGAAGCTGGTTCCCCGTGGATATGCCTCCCACTTTCTAAATGGTGACGCTTCTGGAATGGTCTGGAAGCAGCCTCCACCCTCCCAGCCTTCCTCCTCCTCCACTCCCACCCACCTCCCTCCTTCCCCGAGTCCCGCCTCCCGCTCCCCCAGCCTGATAGTCACCCTGGAAAAAAGGGGCTAGGGTGTCTGGGAGTTTGGTGAAGACAAAGGGGCAGAACAAGTGAGCGCCTTGATTCTAACACGTTAGAGTTTTCTGAGTTTGTAAGGATTCTAAGGGGTAGGCGGGCTGAGACTGCACACGGGGAGGTTCCGGCCTGGCAGCGGTCCAGACTGGGGTCCGCCCAGAGGACCAGGTTCTTTGCACCCAGAATTTCTTGTATGCTGGAGAACTTGGATCCTTAGGTCCGAATTGCTTTATATGAGCCTAGCAATGCTCTTCATGAACTTTCCAGGTTGGTTTTGAGCCCAGCTCCAGCACTGACCAGGTGGGTGACCTTGGGCTTCGTGGTCAATTCCCCCCTGCCTCCATTTCTTCCTGTTCACCTTCGCTCACCTAGTGGTGAAACAAGTAGGCTCAGCAGTGTGGGTTCTGAAACTAGAACACAGGCACTCAAGGGCAACAGCTGACACTAAGCACTTTACTGTGTCAGGCGCAGTCCTACCTGCTTCCAGAAAATTCATTTAAGCCAACCATCTACAGGTAAGTGCTATCACTCTCCAGACTTGAAAGCCTAGGTAACGGGAACAGAACACAGACTTAGACGTTGTCTAAGTCCCAAGGTCAGGAGGCCAATACTTTAACTGCTGGCTGTTCTGCTGTAAGCACAGCTCCCTTAATAGGTGATTGTCGGAATAATGAAACCGGTAAAAACTCAATACATAATGGCTTAACTTTGTCCATGTACCCGACTGTCACCAGTTGTATCCTCAGCTGTGAAGAATTCAAGGGAAAGAGGAGAGGTGTTCTCCCTGGAATCTACACAAACGGAGGAAGGTCACCCACGGTATTAGCACTGCAAACCCAGAGGAAAAGCCCCTAGACTTGAAACAAGGGGAAAAATCAGGAGGTGGTTCGGTAAAGAGTTACAGGACTTGATACGCTAATTTCTTCTGCATGAAGAAGGAGTTAGTGAAGATATGATTTTGAATTCTCCCCTCTGGGCTTCAGTAACAAAACTCTGTATTGTTTGGTTAAGGATACATTGTGTTAATTTTATTTGTTTCCTCTTCAGCAAGACCTCCTTAAAGTCAAAGACCCCATCCTGTTAAGTCAGCATAGACCCTTGCATAAGATAAACACTTGAAAATTGGGCAGTGTGTAAATGCTGAGCTGAGTCAGTGGCTGGGCCATCAGGAAGCACCTTGTTCTAGAGGGTCTGCTTATCACCAGAGGAGACTAACAGGTTGCTAATAACATCTTCTCTTTGCAGTAGAAAATCCCTTCTGAAAAACTAGTTTGCATTGGCATCTTATTTGGGGAGCTTCAGAGAAGCACAGAAGGTGCCAAGTGACCAGCTCTTACCGAAGAGGACAGCCAAGAGGCCGTTCCCCAAGCAGAGGACACTGCTTAGAGATGTGTCCTAGCTCCCCCTCCCAGCATACTTCTTTGCCTTCCTCTTTGAAACGTCACTGTTTATATCCAAAAGCCCTAGCTACTCCTTTGGAAAATTCTCCAGTGAGCAATAAATTCTCAGTAGCTTCAGTTGGTTTCCAGCCATCGAGCAGGTCTCCATCCGCCATGCCTCAAGGGTCCTGGGGAGGACCGTTTCAGTTGGGGCAAGTTGATGAGAATGATAAACCCAGGCCTTCCAATTACTGGAGGCACCTGGACACCAGGGACAAAAAGTTGATCTCAGGGATTTACTGAGATGTGAGGCTAAGCTCAATCATTATTTGGTTATTTAGGGCATCCCCAACAATGCAGACCAGGATGATACAGCATCACCAACTAGAAAACCCCTTTTTACATTATTCCGTCCATTATACAGTCACTAGTTTTTTTTTTTTTACAAACATGATACATTTTATAATTATGAAAGATCGTATATTAAGGTCAATTACATTACCACCTACGGGTTTGTCATCTGTCGATCCTAAGTTATAATTACCAATGTAAATATTCCTGGTAAATATGCGTGTATATTATTAGAAGATGCTAGGAATTTAACTGAGGACTCCCCATGCGTACTGAAATCGAGAATAAGAAGTGCAGACTTGAAAATAAAGTGAAGTCACAGGCATGGAGTGAGGGTGGGCATCTTAAAAAATATCCGAACTTCATGGGACTTGATTACACCGCAGTAGTTTCCCTGTGTGGCAGCTGGGGCAAGGGGATGGAACCGTCTCCGGGCTTAGGACTAACGCGCGTCATTATAGTTGAGGCTGTTTCCCAAAGAAGTGAGTGTGCTAAGCCTCAGGGACACCAGGCGGTGGTGATACCCAGAACCGAAAGTACAGGACTTGACTTTGCACCACAACAAATCGTCTTTGCGTTAAAGATGGATCCCAACACGGTCAGACTACCACGTGCCCTAAAGTTCAGAACCTTGACGCTTGGTACTTGTTCCCGGTCTTTCCCCGATGTCCCTGATGTTCCATCAATTCTGCAGTTTCCGAGGCTGTCTTATGCGCAATAAACTTCCAATTTTACGTCTCCAGCCCCGACCTCCGCTGTGAAGTGCGAATGCGTGTATGCACGTTTCTCCCCAACTCCTTCACGTGCAACTCTCTTTTCAGCCTGAATCCACCTAAGACACAGGAGTTGACGTTGTAAGCCTGTTACTCCCTCTATTCCTTCCCACTCAGGAAGTGACACTACCCTAAATCCATTTGCTCAAGCCAAAACTTTAGGGGGTGAGCCTTCCTCGCTTCCCTTCCTCTCCACAAATCCAAACCATCCATAAGTCATGTCACCTATACCCCAACACGTGTCTTCCTGTATTCTCTACGCTCCTTGCCATGACCTGAGGGGCCACCCATGACCACCTCAGGCCTCTGGCCTCTGGCCTTCTCTCGGACTTATTTCCATCTTTCTGTTCCAGCCGCACTGGTCTCTTTCCACCTGCCAAGCTCTTTCCTGCTTCAAGACATTTTCACTGTTGCTCTTTTTCTCCGAAATACCTGTTCCCTGACTTGTCTTCTAGAAAGCTCTCTCTCACCCTCCAGGACTCTGCTTTTCTTCAGACAGTCCTGTTCTGACAGACCTACCCAGACAGATCAAAGATCTGGATACAAAATACAAATACTGGATGACATTTTAGGAAACATCTTAACCTCAGGGGTGTGTGTGCGTGTGTGTGTGTGTGTGTGTGTGCGCGTGTGCGCGAACACTGAGGGTCAGGCGTTATTGTTAAGCAAGGCAGGAAACAAAGCTGTAGAAGACAGGACATAAACTACATAGGCCAGAAGGAGATTTAAGACAATAGAAGAAAATGACTAACCAGGATATTTTGTATCTTTTATTAAATTCAAGTGGCCAGGGGCGCCTGGGTGGCTTAGTCGGTTAAGCGTCCAACGTCGGCTCAGGTCACCATCTCACGGTTCTTGAGTTCGAGCCCCGCATCGGGCTCTGTGCTGACAGCTCGGAGCCTGGAGCCTGCTTCGGATTCTGTGTCTCCCTCTCTCTCTGCCCCTCCCCCTCTCGGTCTGTCTCTCTTTCTCTCTCTCAAAAACAAAAAATTTAGACATAAAAAAAATTTTTTTTAATAAATTCAAGTGGCCAATGCATATCAGGGGTAAAAAAGTCAACCTTTCTAGTAGTTAAGCTTTGTATATACCAGTAATAACGGGATGCCTTTTCCTATCCATGGAGAGACACCCACGGAAACAAATAGTAAACAGGACTACTGAGGGCGGGGAAGGATTGCCACGGCCTATACTCTTTTGAAAAATTCTCCTGGAAATATCTATTTAAATGTAGTATTAGACCCTTGGCCTTGTGTACAACAAATCAGTTCTAGATAAATAAAGACAGAAACCAAACAGGAAAAAAAAAAAGTTGGCCCTTGAAAAAAGAGGACATCTACCCTCTAGAAACAAGCCCCTATGATGTAAGGTTATAGCAAGAGAGGTTTTTCACCTTTACAAGCATCTGAGTATAAAGTGTTAAAATGGGCGTGTATTAAGTTGGTAACTTCAAGTATCAAGAGTAAAGTTAAGAAGTAGCCTCCCTCTGCTCACTGCTCTGCAGGTCACTCTCTGGCCGTGACCCTGTGTAGATTCTTTGAACTACAGTCCCAGATTTTACCTATTGGGTCTCACAGCTCTGGCGTCTCCCCATTCCAGCCTCCGCTCCATGAAATCGGGACGTCTCTGCGTTCTCACTGTGCCTTCCCTGCATCCAGCAGAGTGGGAAGTGGCGGCCACTCAACTCCGCCGAACGCGCAGGGAGGGGATGGCGTAGCCCAGAAAGCCCTCTCTGAGCCCCGCACGTGGTTGTCTGCACGTCTGCGGAGAGGGGTCTGTCCAGTAACCGTCACCCACAGCTCGCCCCGTTAGCAGGTGTGCAGCGAGATCGGGAAGTGAGCCCCGCTTGCCTGCCACGCTCCCCCTTTTCGGCTTTGTGCACTAACCTCCCCAGATTTAATGTCTTCATGATAACCCTCAGGAAGCCCTTCATTCTTTTAAGGGCCTCTTCTCTGCCGGCTGATACCCCCGCATAAAAGAATCCTCTTTAACGTGCTACTGGGTCTGTGGTTGCTAAGGGTTCGCTTGGAATCCTGGAAAGAAAAGAGTCACGCAGCTGGTGCGTGTGACAAAGTCAATACTTTTTCATCCACTCACAGTGTCTGCTCTGCACAGAAGGGCAGCTCCTGGCTCCTACATTCCAACGCGCGGGTTATCCAGTTAACACGCTCCTCTCCAGGCTGTTTGTGGAAGATTCTATCCACCCCCCGTGTCTATACCCTGGCACTTTACATTCTCCCCACATGGTGGAGTTTCAGTAAATACTCCGAATGAACGTGCTGACCACAAACCTTAGACGTGCCCAGAAATGGAATAGTCACCAAGCCGCAGGGCCTTGAGGGTTTATCCCTGGGGTATGGACCGTTTTAGCCTCCACCCAGGCTTAAATCCCAGTTACTCACTTTGGAGGGAGATCCATGACGGTTCTACAGCTGCCGTGTCCAACACAGTAGCCACTGGCCACATGTGACATTTTCAGTTTAAAGATAACATAATTAAATTAAAGAATTAAGTGAAACTAAATTGAAAACTCAGGCTTCAGTTGCACTAGCTACAGTTCAAGTTGCTGGTGGCTACGGTCTTGGATAGAAAGATACAGAGCACCTCGGTCATCCCAGAAAGTTCTATTGGTAGGCACTCCTTGTCCTTCTAATTGTTCACGGGCACTTACTCGATGCCCTCCAGGTAGCATCTGAGTATGTAACGTATGGTCACCAGACCAAATACAGGATGCTCAGTTACATGTGAATGTCAGATAAGCAGCAAATAATTGTTGAAGACTAAATATGCTTTAAACTATTGCACAAAATGTACTATGCTAAGACAAAAATTGTTATTTATCTGAAATTCAGATTTCACTGGGCGTCTTGCATTCTTATGCGCCAAATCTGGCAATGGTGCCTGAAGACCAAAATGAGAGCATCTTCCAGGGCACCTGTGTGGCTCAGTCAGTTGAGCGTCCCACTTCGGCTCAGGTCACGGTCTCACGGTTTGAGGGTTCGAGCCACGCGTCGGGCTCTGGGCTGACGGCTCAGAGCCTGGAGCCTGCTTCGGATTCCGTGTCTCCCTCTCTCTCTGCCCTTCCCCTGTTCTCTCTCTCTCTCTCTTTCTCTCTCTCTCAAAATAAATAAACATTAAAAAACAAATGAGAGCGTCTTCCCTGGGAGCCTGGGTCCTCTTGACCGTGGGGAGTTTCTATACGAGCAACTGAGAAGGTCTGACACCAGAGATGAGCCTGTGGGTCTTTCTGCCTGTGTTGAGAAAGGCCGAGGAAGAAGTTCCTAACGGCCTTTACTTTGGTTTCAGATCTTTCCTTCGGTTTCCAAAGCTTCTCACGACAGAGATGTCTGGGTCCAGAAAGTGTCTGTGAAAGTCATCGGTTCTCAGAAATAAATGGATAGATGGGGGGCCATGTTCAGTCATGACTGACTGATTCTGCACCTGCAATTTTTTCCTCCTGAAAACTTATTCCGGGTTTATTTCTTTGTGTGTACACGTACAGCTTGGGGAGGAGAGTAAAGGCGGGAAAATATTATTGAAGAGAAGCTCTGTCTCGTAGGAAATATGTCTAACGGTTTGAATAAGTCATAGATTCAGAGGGTTCAAACAAATCAAACTAGCAAGAGAATCCACCCCTCCACTGGATTACTCTACGAGGTAACCATTAATTCCCTCGTATACCTACGCACTGTTAACTCACGCAGATGTGAGTCAAGCCACCCCCTCCCGCCTTCACTGATGAAAGACAGCCGACTGTATACACTGTTCTCCCCTTACTCTTTTCCTACAACAGTGTATTTTGGAGAACTTTCCAGATGTGAAAACAGGGAGCTTTCTGCACACCATCCTGTGGGATTGCACTGTGTCCCTACATCTTAGTGCACGTAACCCGTCCGCTATCGGGGGGCATATAAAACGAGATGATAAACCCGGATTCACAGCACGTCCGATTGACAGTCCTCCCGTTCTGCTGGGGTTGCGGAAAGTGAACAGAAACGCGTCACTCTTGGATGAGAGACTCGAGGTTCTTTGCCTTAGAAACTCTATGGCCCTAGCCGAGGTAGCAATTTTGAACCTCACTTTCTTCATCTGTACAATGGAGGTAATGCCTCCCTCACGTGACTATAAGAATGAAAGAGGACCGTGTGAATTGTTTGAAGCTCAAAAGAACAACACAGATAAGATCGTGTAACTTTCAACACCATTTCGCTTGCGAGAGTTAGAGATGATACGTCGTAATAGGAACAGTCTCCAAAGTCCAGCCTGCTGCCGGGGCATGAGGTGGTGCAGGGAGGCAGGAAGGCCGGCTCTCAATTACCTGCTTGAGACATCTCCTGGGTGACATGGCCCTGTCCTGCCCACCGGAGTCAGAAAATACCCTCTCCCAATTTCCCCCGGCCCTTCTCCCTGTTGCTTTTTTTCCTTCAAACCAAGGTCAGCTTTTGTCTATTTGTTTGTTTTTTTTGTTTTTAAGGTCACGTTTTAAGAATGTCTCCACTAAGCTGTAAAGTCTGTGTGTGTTGGGGGCTGGGGGGCCCTCTGGGCCATTGTTGCACTGCCCGCTGTGAGCCTGGGGACTGACGTTGCCTGGCATACACTGGTCAGTCCAGAAACAGCTGGCGAATACATCAGGCAGGCAGGTGTGGGAAGGGGGCATCGATGTACCAAGTCTATACAAAGTGGCTTGTGCACGGGCACACACACACAAATACATGTAGTTGCACAGCACACACGCAGTGAGACCTTCCGGGAAGGCATGGGAACCTGGAGTTAACTGCTGGGGTTTGTGTCCTAGCTCTGCTCCGCCCCTTACCACGTGTCTGACTGGGGGTAAGTCACCTGCCATCCCTGAAGATCAGACTTGCCATCTGTAAAATGGGACAGCGCCTCCCAGAGTTTTGAGAACCAATCCAATGGGATGGTACCTGAGGAAGCACAGTGTTCCTCGTGAAGCTTAATATAAACATGCGTGAAACGATGCAGACAGAGATCCATCCCAGTCTATCTATCTATCATCTATCGATTCATCTGTCTATTTCCAAATATGGAAAAGCAAAAGCAGGAGAGGATATTGGGATCCCCCTCGGGGATCTGCTGGCTTCGCCTGTAGAGACAGAAGTAACCGGGCTTATGCTAAGCTGGAATACTACCTGTTGCTGGTGGCAACTAGGCCCATGGCAGGAGGAAGCTTCTAGAAGAGAGGGCCCAGCAGACATTCACTGCTGAAATGGCAGCGGATGCCGCCACTCACCTCCCCCCAAGTCTCTTCCAGGTACGGGAGCAGCAGCCCCAGTGGAACGGGTGGGCCTTTCGAACCCAGCTGAGCTGTCTTTCCAAGAGCAGAGGATGTCAAGGCACGGATGCCCCATACGTTGCCCCCTCCACTTTGGGCTCGGTTCGCTCCCTGGACGTGGAGAATTCACCCCAACCGGGGATCTGAGCAGCCTTGACACAAGAAAGAAAAATGCAGACAGCTATTAAAAAGAAGGGTCCTGGGTAGATGGGCCCTGGGGGAGGACAGAATAAGTGAGCGTAGAGCACAGAAGGAAGCTTCTGTTTCCTTTGGTTCATTCCCTGCAGGTGGTGAGTGAAGAGACCAGGGCCCTGAATCAGTTGGCCTTGTGCACGGTTGCCAAAGAGATCAGTGGTTTGTACACGTCCACACCCTGAGGTATATTTCTGCCCTTGACGTCTTGACTGTCTCACGCCTCCAGTGGACGTGCCATTTTGGATCTTTCCTTCCTCTCTTGCTACTCTGTGTTCAGTGTAGGGCTGGTAGCCTTAAAACCGCTGCTGCTTACGGAACCAGTAGTTACTAATGGGGATTAGTAAATGCGACACATCAGGGCGTTTGGTTTTCTCCTGGAGAGCCAGTTGTTAAACAGTGAGCAGCACACCCCCGCCTTGAACAACCGTCGCTCCTCCCCGGTGAGGACACACACGTTTGCTCACACTATTTTCCTGTCCGGAAAGGTCCCGTCTCACTTCCCATGCTTCTGGGCTAATTTAAATCCCACACTCCTGCCCCCCACCCCACCCCCCGAGTTGTTCAGTTGGCTAAGCGTCTGACGTCGGCTCAGCTCATGATCTCGCGGTTCAGGAGTTTGAGCTGCCTGTTGGGCTCTGTGATGGCAGCTCGGAGCTGCTTCGGCTTCTGTCTCCCTCCCTCTCTCTGCCCCTCCCCTGCTCACACTCTCTCTTTCTCTCTCAAAAATAAACATTAAAAAAGTGGTTTTCAAAGATAAATAAATCCCTATAATCTGTACCTCCCATGTATATTTTCGTATTGTTTCCCATCTGTCCCTCCCATGTATATTTCGTATTGTTTTCATGCCTACTTTCCAGATTGTAGGAGGACACCTAGCACACTCTTCAGCCAGACAGATACTCACCTGCCCCAACCCTAACTTCCTTCATGGCTTTTGCTCCCTGATCATTCTCCTACTTCCAGAGGGGGAGAGTGGCCATGGCCTGGCAGGTGGTGACGCTGGGAGTGAGGGCTGTGAGCACAGCGGGCTCCGAATGCCCCAAGCAAGGCACAACTAGGGCACAGCAGGGCTGTTTAAGCAGTGACCCCAGGGACTTCCTCGGGGTTGCCTGGTGATAAACTGAGAACAATGGCTGCTTCTTTCCCCGTGGGAAGATCAGCCAATGTTCCCAAGTGCTGGGAGGCTGGCGTTCGCAGCTGACGCCCACACAGAAAATGTTTCTTCTCCCTATTCAAGTCTGCTTTCATGTTTTTTCTACTGAGGGAACAGCACAGGCAGTGGGTGCCCTTGGGGAGCACCGCCCCTCTGCGCACCAGGGATGTGCCCCTCCTTCCCCGGAGATGAGCCCTGAGCGTTGCATGAGAACAGCCAGTGCCCTGGCAGACTTCTGCCCCCCACCCCCACCTAGTTCCAGGGGCCACAGCCAAGACCACCAGAGGCCCCAAACAGGAAGGCCTAGTCTGAGTCGCATGACCTCCAGAGGTTGAAGTCAGTGGAAAGGAGTGGAAAGGAACTTCCATTAAGGGCCTAGATCTAACTTTTTGAACATGATGGAAATCGCCTTGTGTCTGTCTTCTCCAATGTCCTTCATGAAAGCTAGAAACCAATTGCTGTTTCTATAATTTCCCATTTATCTCCTGTAGGTCCCCTTTCTACCGTCCCTCCTCTGCCCGCAATCTCTTTCCTCTCCACGTACCATCAACTATCTTTCAAGGAACACTTTTTGAAAGCATCCTTGTGGGGGAAGCTGGATGGCTCAATCAGTTAAGTGTCTGACTCTCGGTTTCGGCTCAGGTCATGATCTCACAGTTTTGCGAGTTCAAGCCCCATGTCGGGCTCTGAGCCTGCCTGGGACTTCTCTGTCTCTCTCTCTCTCTCTGCCCTTCCCCTGCTCACACACTCTGTCTCTCTCAAAATAAGTAAATACACTTAAAAGATTTTTTAATGAAACTAAAAAAATTTACAAAAACCCATGAAAGTAACTTCTTGTTTTCACACTAGGTGATCGGTGTTGAAATACGTGCAGACCCGCCACCACCGCGCTCCATGGATGCTCCAGGGGGACCCAGGCTGAGCTCGGCTTCGGGCGCCCGCGTCCCTGTGGCGCAACAGCAGGTGCACAGCGGTACTCTGGCTCCATCATCAGGAACCTCGCTACCGGGATCTCACCTGTAGCTCAGAAGCTGGGCCTCAGAATCAGACAAATTGCCCTTCTACCCAAATTCACCGCTCTCCAAATTAGCGTTAGATTGTGACGGATGTAGTCCCTGCCTCATTGCAGGAAGTAGATTATAATATTCACTGTGTGCCGAGCGCTATCTTCTTTTATCTTCATAAGGAGTTTATGAGGTAGGTGCTCTTATGATCCCAGAGACCTAGGGACACAGAGACATAGGGAACTTGCCCGTGTCGTCATTTTTCGTTACGCGCTGACACCCGGGGTGTACTGGCCCAAGGAGTTGTGAATCGCCTGTCGCTTTGGAGGTTCGTTTGAGTTGACTTGGTCACCACTCCCATCTTGTAATGGCCTCTTGTAGCTTAGTCTTTAACCAAGGAACACCAGAAATGAGGCCCTACTCATTTGTTACTTTTTGGTGATTTTCGTCATTCTGAGAGAGAGAACTTCTGAGAGAGACGTTCAACTTTAAGGAAGCAAGAAGATACCTGATATTGAACAATTTGTTCTTTTTCTTTGTGCCCAACCCAAAGGAGACGGACAGCAGCCGTGAAGGCTGGACACTGTGATTTCTGGGACCCTGTGGGATAATGGAAGTAAAAACACAGGTTTGGCCATACGTCAGCCCCCCTTTTGCAACACTATGTGACCGAGAGCAAACCATTTCCCCTTTTTATCTCAGTGTTTCCTTGTCTGGAAAATGGAACCAGTCCTATCACCTGCCTCGGGGGATGGATGTCAAGGTTAAGTGGGGATAATGTACTGGGCACATAGTAGACATTGAAAACAATGCCCCCTCCTCCTTTCTTTTCCCCTTATCTATGAGCTTGGCTCATCTCTAGGTGTATCCATTCTCTATGACCACGTCACCAATTATCCCCAAACTTGGCCACTTCAGGACCGGAACTTGGCCACTTCAGGACCGGAACTTGGCCGTGCCGGGCCCTCTGGCTGTCTCGCAGGCTGCTTTGAAGATGTGGTGGGTCTACAGCGATGGCTGTAGTGGGGCCCAGTGTGTAGCGAAGGCCCAGTGTGGGATCAATCCACTCACAAACCCCTTGTACATGGCTGTTGGCAGGATTCAGACCCTCGAGGACTGTTAGACTCAGGGACTCAAGTCCTCGTTGGTTGTTTCTTGTCTTGTGGACCTTCCAACCGGACAGCTTACAGCTTGACTTTCTTCTGAGGGAGTGAGCATGAGAGAGGGCGCAAGTGAGGTCCCCAGACAGGGGCCACAACCTTTGGGAACCTAATGTGAAAAGGGACCCGCCATCGCTTCTGACGCATTCTACTTGTTCCTAGCAAGTCCCCAAGCGCAGCGCACAGTCACAGAAAACGGATAACCCGAGGGTGTGAACCCTCAGAGGCACAGGGTCACCTTAGAGGATGCCCACCTCACGGAATATATCACGACCCGTTTAAAACAAGGTGAAACTGTCTTCTTGATCCAGTATCTTTAGAAATGGAAGAGTATCTCTGAGTTCTCACACACACAGGCCTGGTTGGGTGCAGGTTGGGTCATGTGCTCAGGCATCAAAAATTGCCCAAGTATTTACATTTCTGAATGTCCCTGGAAACTACATTTCCCAGGCTCCCTTGCTCTCTGGTTTCCAGGAGTTTTGACCAATGGAGACGCTGGTAGGCCATGTTGGTGAGACTGGGCACTTCTCCCTTCCCTCTTCACTTCCTAGGGTCTCCCCAGTTGGTACTCTATGGCTCGGTCTCATCAGAGGGCCTTCACTTGGTGCTCTGAGCTCCTGACTTACCAGCCTGTGCTGTTCCAGCTACACTGGGGGGTTCCAGCCCCAGCTCCTAGTTAATAGGAGTTAACACCTCTTCCTCCCTTTGTCCCAGTAGCCCTGGGAGACACACAACTTCCTGCTGTCACGTATCTTTTGGTTACTCCCCACCCCTCTTTTGGTTTCTCAACTCTTTCATCACCCGTTTATATAATTATCTCAATTAAATTCCATCTGTATGAAATCCCTAGAGTGCCTCCTCTTTTTTAACCGGACTGTACTCATCCACTGGGAAACAGTGGGACCAAACACAGCCGACGACCACTGATCTTCCTTGAACAACTAACGTGCAGACCAGTGTTTACAGCATTTTCTAGTCCTAAATATCTGCCCGGGTCCTCATGCTGCTGGAAGTCCAGCTCAAAATATATCCTCTAATCTGTACCTTGATCTCCTGACCAGAAATTAAGCACACATCTGATACTTTATTTAATATCAAGTGTATCTCATTATACATTAATTAACGGTATGGCTTATACACTCAGTTCATGTGAATTTAGGAATAAAAAGTAACATATATCAGGGCGCCTGGGTAGCTCACTCGGTTGAGCTCAGTCAGCTCAGGTCACGATCTCACCTTTCATGAGTTCGAACCCCACGTCAGGCTCTGTGCTGACAGCTCGGAGCCGGGAGCCGGCTTCAGATTCCGTGCCTCCCTCTCTCTCTGCCCCTCCCCCGATCACACTGTCCCTCTTTCTGTCTCAAAAATAAAAAATAAAACATAAAAGAATTTTTTAAAAAGTAACATATATGGTCACTTACTATGTGTCAAGCACTGTGAAATCACTTCAGATGAGATCAGGTGCATTCAGGGTGCATATGGCCCTAAACTGTTAAATCGCTTCAAAAAAATGACCTCATCTGATCTTAGCAACCCTCCTACAAAGTAGATAATAGTTGTATCTATGAGATTTTTGCCAGATTCTACAACAAACAACCCCCAAATCTTAGTTCGTAGCAATAGCAAAGGTTATTTCCGACTCACACTGTATTTCTTAGTGGATCTGCCATGGCTCTGTTCCATGTTTTCTTCACGGAGGGACCCAGGCTGAATGCGACATAAAGGGATCTTATTGCTGTTAATGATTTTTCTGGGAAGTGGGCACACGTCACTTCTAATATTTTACCAACCAAAGCCACTCCTGTGGCAATGACTGATGTTGATGTGGAGGAGAAATGTACTCTTCATATGGGGAGGCATATTGTAAATCCATATTGATGGGCAGGGATGTGTAATCCTCCCAAATATGCAGCAAAAATTTGGGAGTAGTAATACCATCTACCATACCATTGTCATCCAAATTTTGAACATGAGACAACTGAGAAACAGAGGTTAGTAAATTTCTTAAACTCATAAATCTAGTAAGTGACAGGATTTGAATTTGAAATGGAGTCATCTGCCTTCAGAACTGTGACAGCCAGATTCCAAGATGGCCCTGGTAATCTCACCTTCCAGTATGCACACACACGCTTGGATCATTCCCTCCCCAAACTGGATACACTGACCTATGTAAGTAATATAATACTGTGGCTTCTGGAATTAGGTCATAAAAGATACTGTGACTTCAGTTTTGCTCTCCTGGATCACTCACTTTTGAGGAAGTTAGGTGCCACGTAGGGAGTCCTGGAGCAGACCTACGGAGAGGCCAAAGAACTGAGGCCTTCTGCCCAATAGCCAGCACTGACTTGGCAGCCATGAGAGCCATCTGGGAATTGGGTCTTCCAGCCCCAGTCAAGTCTTCAGATGACTCCACTTCCAGTTAATATCTTGACTCCAGTCTCATCAGATATCTCAAGTCAAAACTACCCAGTTAAGCGGTGCCTGGTGGCTCAGTCAGTTGAGCGTCCAACTCTCAACTTCGGCTCAGGTCATCATGTCACGGTTCGTGAATTCAAGCCTTGCGTTGGGCTCTGCCCTGACAGTACGGAGCCTTCTTGGGATTCTCTCTCTCCCCGTCTCTCTCTGCTGCTCCCCTGCTCTCTCTCTGTCACAATAAATAAACTTAAAAAAAACTACCCAGTAAAGTCATCCCCAAATTTCTGACCCATGGAAACTGTGTGAGATAGTAAATCCTTTTTATTATTTTAAGCCATTAAAGGTTGGGAAAATTTGTTATGCAGCAGTAGATAACTATAAAAGTGTCTGCCATTATGCCAAACTGCCACCGTGTATGAATGAACAATCTGTGTAAATATATAGATCTTACATTTACAAACCAGCAAATGCATATAATGCAGGGGGAGTGAAGAGGAAAAGGAAAGGGTTCCTGAGGAAATAATAATCGGAGTTATGATGGATAAAGAGGGAAAGTGAAGAACAGAGTAGAGATATGCAAGAAGGCCAGATGCAACCTGTTCTTATTCATTGAACCATCTCTTCTAAAGACACCGGCGACATCTTTGAAGAAATGGATGCCAAAGATACTGAGTTAGACAATGATTATGAGTTCAATGTTAAGGTTAACGAAGAGGTAGTTAATATCTCTGAAGTCATTGTTTCTCTAGGCACTCTCTTTCCAGACAGAAGACGGTATTTGTTGGGATTTTTGCCAGGATTAAGGGATCTGTGTTTTGACTCTTAAGAGTATAGGGGCGCCTGGGTGGCGCAGTCGGTTAAGCGTCTGACTTCAACCAGGTCACGATCTCGTGGTCCGTGAGTTTGAGCCCCGCGTCGGGCTCTGGGTCGGAGCCTGGAGCCTGCTTCCGATTCTGTGTCTCCCTCTCTCTCTGCCCCTCCCCTGTTCATGCTCTGTCTCTCTCTGTTCCCAAAATAAATAAACGTTGAGAAAAAAATTTAAAAAAAAAAAGAGTATATATGTAGACACTTACGCTTTATACTTTTATGCACTTCCAGTCCAAGAAAAGACACCCCAATCCTTCACCTCACCCCCAGATCCGAAACGCTCTCCACCTCCACCTTTTTCAAGGATCCTTCCTGCATCCAGATTCCATGGGATCTCCTTGCTGGTAACCCAGAGGACAAGTCCCTGACCTCTCTCAGGCTTTCATCTTGAAACAACATGGATTCATGGAGACTCAACGTGCTTCAACATCCAAATTAAGTTTA